ACCGTCTCTGGGACGAAGATAAAGCCAAAATATGTATTGGAAGAAACATTATCTTTGATAAAAATCCCAAATACAAAAATATCCAACTAAAACAAATGGAGAATGAAACATTAACCGATGAAGAAGAATTTGAAAACCAAGAAAACACAGAAACAACAGAAAATCTAAATTATGAACCAAATAATACAAATAACAAAAACCGAGACAAAAACCAAATTAAAGAAGGCAAACAAGAAATCAGAAGAAGTACAAGAATGAAGTGGAAACCTAGGAAATTAGAAGAATATGATCTGAATAATGAATAAGAAATAATGTTAGCCTTATCAATAAAAGATTTGTCACCAGAAGTACCCAAATCATATGAACAAGCAATAAATACCAGTAAAGAGTGGAAAGAAGCAATAGACAAAGAATTAAGTGCTCTGGATAAAAATAAAACATGGACTTTAGTGCCAAAAAGTGCGGTACCCGGGAGTGAAAAAATCATTGATTCGAAATGGATTTTTCGAGAAAAAGAAATCCTAAGTGAAAACGGCATTGAAAAAGTGAAAAAAGCTATATTGGTAGCCAGAGGCTATCAATTATCCAATCTGGAAGAAGAAGTCTACGCTCCAGTCGCCAGAATGATGACTGTGAGAATCTTACTGGCCCTAAGTCTGGAAGAAAATGTGGAAATACACCAACTGGATGTCAAAAGTGCCTTTTTAAATGGTACATTAAAACACCCAGTTTTTATGCAGGTATACCACTAGGACTAAATGTGAGTGATAAACATTTTGTTTGTAGATTAGAAAAAGCTCTTTATGGTTTAAGACAATCTCCCAAATGTTGGTACGTAAAATTTAATGATTTTATGTTAGAAATAGAATTTCAAAGGTCAAAAAGTGATCCATGCCATGGACATAAAAAATATTAAAATAAATCTAATGAAAAAATTTGAAATACAAAATTTGTCTGATAGCAAAAATTTGAAGTTTTTGGGATTGAATACTATTCTAAATAATGAAAGTATTATAATTCACCAGAAGGATTTGATTTGTAAAATTTTGAATGATTTTGGAATGAATGATTGTAAGCCTTCAAAAATTCTTGTGCAACCTAAAATTAATCTGGAAATGAACGATAGCAAAATTAATGATTTAAATTTGGAAAGTGTACCTTACAGGCAATTAATAGGTTCACTAATGTACTTAATGTTAGGATCAAGACCGGACATTAGTTTTGCAATCACATATTTTAGTAAATTTCAAAATTGTTACGAGCATAAACATTGGAAAGAACTTAAAAATGTCCTGAAATATTTAAAAAACACAGTAAATTTAGGACTAGTCTTTATCAAATCTGATACAAAGGAAAACCTTCCAAAGGACATTTTAAGTGCATTTGTGGATTCTGAGTTATTTTGAAATATATACCAACAAAGGAACAAATTGCTGACATATTCACAAAAGCACTAGATTCTGTACAGTTTATATATTTAAGGAATAAGTTAAATCTTTTGGAAGTAGATATTTAGTAGTTATTTTATACAATAATGATTTGTTTGCATAAATCTGAGATTGGAAGGGAGTGTTGATTGGAGCAATTAGAGTAGAACAATTCAGATTTATGAAAACCAATCAGTAGTTGAAGGTTGAAGCCAGCATCTGTGGCTATGTTCATGCAATGTCATTTAGTAAAGTCTTTTGTAAAAAGTCGATACAGCAGTGTGTCAAGAAAAAGCGCCAAAACAAAATGTGTTGCTAAAATTAATTAAAAAGTAATCACCCAAAATATCTCTCTCTCTCTCCAAGGCTGAACGCTTTTTTTCTACTGGCGCAGCAAAATAACAATGTTGGCGTTTGAAATGTATGGCATTCAATTTGAGTGCACGCACCTTATGGAGATCTTATGATCCTTTGAGACATGACATCGGTCAAACATGTAGCGCCTGTTTGTTACGTTGCTAACATTCAAGAAGACGGGGCAAGAAAACATACTGGGGTTTACGAAGAAATGCTTGATCTTCCTGGGGGAAACCGGAAAGGCTGAAATAAGCTATTATGCTCCCTTGCATGAATACAAAAAAATTTACTCTCTTACATCTTTTCAAGAGCAAAAAAACCTGCACTGGGGTTATACAGGCCGATACAAATGTCATAAGCCATCTGCACTTAGCTCATGATCTAGGAAGAATCATGTTAAAATGTACTTTAGCGAGTTTCATTGAAAAACCTTGTTATGTGCCCTTGTAAAAAAATACTCGACAGCTACTCTTAAGTTATCATGTCCAACTCTTCTTAACTTGTCCATACGCAATCATTTGTGTTTCAAATTTCAACGATAATAAACGTAAGACTCATTAGAACAGAGAAATGTTCTCCCCCTAATTCATTGTCCAAAAACACATTGTAACCCACTCCCACCCTACTTATATCCGGAAATTCGATCTGCCGCCATAGAAATCATAACCAATCAAGGTAAACAATATTAACGCGTCTCCCCACAACTTGTTTTTTCTCTGAATGGGAGCTCGTGCAGCAGTAACACAGCATCAGCAACAGCAGCCCTTTTATGTATGCGTGTGCTTGTCATCGACGACATGTCTTCTGCAAGCTTACGAACGGTGGCCGTTTTATTAACGTGTCAGCATCAGATGTTCTTTAACTTTGCTTTATTTGCCGATGGTCGACTTTAGGGTACGTATACATGATTTATGCCTCGAAGGGTGTAACGATGAGATAGAAAACAATAAACGTATAATCATAATTGTGGGTGGATGTGGAGCAGATGTTTCTTTGTAATAAATTGAACAAATCCACCTGTTTGCAAAGAGGGAAACTCCAACGGCGATTACAAGCCATCACTGTCTCCTGAATTAGGCTGTTTCGAGGGAATCGTTTCCCGCGCTCGCTCTTGACTCGAAGCTCTGCGTTTTACAAGCTATTTGAAGTCAATAAAATGATAATGCCCCAATAAAAGCGGTGCGCCGGAGATACACCACGCGGAGACTCTCTCCTTTTCTCCTTTCTAAGTGATTCTGAGACGATGCAAATTGTATCAGGAAGAAAATAAAGCGAGATCCGGGGGACGGGCGACGTCGCAACCGTGTTTTATGAACGACAGATTCCGGAAACGGCGTACAAGACGTTTTTGATAGAGACGATTTATTTATTTATATAAAATGAAAATTGCTTAGGATTTTACCAAACTATTCAAAAGGTATAAGCAAACTAACAGAATATAATGGGTTATTTACAGCCCAATAACATATTAATTTCTTTAGTCTGTAATTGTGTTACAGGTTACAGGTCAGCAGAACCACAAAAGACCGCAGGTCGCTGTGGAAGGGACGAAATCGGATCACTTCGGGCTTGTTCCAAGAAAATTTTCAAGTGTGCATTTAACGAATGGAAAATTGTGCATGTTAGTTTGAGATTGTGCACATACTTGAAAATGACGTAATTAATAGCGCCATCTCTTGGGTTTTACAGAAACAATGATGTCAATGAAAGTAAGCCGCCATTATGTGGCTCATTTGGCTCTCTTTTCCCGACCCCAGCAGTTCGAAATGTTTATAAAATCTGTTTTGAACCTTTTTGAAAATGACGTCATTACTTTTATCCGAGAAAAAATCAGGTTGACGTCATTGGCTTAACGCGAAATAGGTTCAACGTTTAACAAATTTCGGCGAGAAAAACAAAAAAACACCTTTGAGCTTAGCTTTCAAAATAAATAACAGATATCAGTAACCTCCACACACTCATTGACTCACACTACTAAGGATTGCTTATCGGCCTCGTTTTTGGTAATCGCCTCCATATTGGTGTATCACCATTGATGACGTCATTAATTAAGTCGTCAGCTATTTGCTCCAGCGATCGTGGTTTAGAGTTAGGAAAACATGATAATCTTTCAAACAAACATCCAAAAACCAATATTAAGATCGAATTTAAATAAACTATAGACAAAGAAACAATTCGTATTATCCTTGTCTCGACAACAAAAAAAAAAAAAAACAGAAGACTTTTAATTATCTCTCAACGTGTTAAGATTAAAAATTTACTCCTCAGTTACACTAAGGCAGCTGTACGTTTCGTAGGAACCATAAAAAAGGTTACGATCTCCGAATAGCCGTAACTGCACACCAGACATATACTCTGTAGTCGATTTCACATTTTGTTTTACGATCTAATTGTGTTGTCAAATTGACTACAATTAAATGGTATTTTACGCTCATTATTTCACCATTTTTTCTTTCTCATGAGCGACGGATTTGTTTGGATACGGAGCCATCTCGTAAAAGTTTTAAGTACCTTTGGGGGACGATGATCTTTTACCTTTATATGTCTTTCCGTGGTATTTGCTGTTCTTTTTCAAAATATATATTTTTCAACGTCAGAAAAAAAAAAAACTCCATATCCACTCTGTCGCATCATGAATATTCCAAATTTGATAGGAACATGCGATTCGGATGGCGAGGTGTCGTGTTTTCATATTTTTTGCATGCCAAGACCCCTGCCAAAGTGGAGTGTCATGTCTCTTTTGCTCCTCAGGGGAAAAAGTAAGGGCACATATTATGCCTCTCTCGAGTTTATTATTTATCTCGTGGTTGCACGAGAACTGAGCATCTTTTTATTGAATTTGATGGCATAAGTGCACCGCGGTCTTGACGCTTTTTGACGGGAAATATTAGGCCCTTTTTTTATGCGTTATAACCGCAACATAATATGATAAGAATATGCGTTTAATTTTAAATCCTTTTAGCTATAGTATTGATGACAAAACATACACTCCTCATTCCTTTCTCCCCAATGTCAGCCAAATAAATCAGTTTGCACAATGAATTAGGGGGTGCAACAACAATCAATCTACGTCTATATCAGTTTCACTTTCATGGCAGATATATTTTATTTTATTCAAATTTATCCTCATATATTCCTGTTAAATGACCATTTTAATTTTGCCGACGAATTGATAAGACCCCATCATTTATACCTAAGTATTGTTTCTGATTGCAGCGGCCCCCATCGTCGTCGCTGAGCTACGGGGGCCCCGTGAACGACGACGTCCGGTCACCGGGAACGCCTGGACCCCTTTCGCAGCCTCCCGCCTCGCAGCAGAGTCTCGACGCCTCGGATCCTGGTAAGAACATATACCTACCTGTTATACATTTCGGTAAAAATCATTACAGCCACATTTAATAACCTGTTTTAATTTTAAAAGCGCTTTTAAATCTTGCCCTTTTTAAAAATTTACCTGTATTTCAAGCAATACATCTTTCAAAGTCGGTTTTAATCATCGAGGTCTACGGTCGACGTCACCACTATTAGCTGTTAATATTGATGACGTCACTCGCAGACCCTGCCGGCTCGAGAATTGGCGTACCCCTTAGGATGAGCAATCCTATTAGTTTACGTCAGGGTTAGGTGAACTTTTGCTAGCAGCCCATACATTGATGGATTTATGGGGCACATCCCCGCACTTAAAAATTAAAAAATAACTCTAATAATGATTATATCTTTGGTTTATTTATTTCAAAAAATCACAATGATAATACTTTCTTTAGTGGGGGGCTTAGGTTAAACATTTCCAAGGGAATCTTCAACAATCTTAGGATGTATTCAAGTTTTTTATCACCAACGCATCCAAATTTTCCATTGTAAGTCGATTTCCTAATAGAGTTTTTATGTCTTCAAGTGTTAAAAGGCATTTTTCGCACCGCACCTGTGAACATGCTAAAATAAGAAGATACTTACTGGTACAGGCCTCAGAGATGACTGCAAGCACGGATATATAATCTGTATTAATACAAAACATTTTTTACAACGTGAATTTATATAATCTTCATATCCATATCCGTATCATGATGGAGATCCTGTTTCGGCCCACCGGAAATTTCCCGGTATCCCGGTAGGTTCATCTAACCCTGAGGTGCTTTCCAGTGACCCATTTGAGTTACTCCTAAGCAGCTCAGGACTGCTCCACAATTGCTTTGCCTGTGCTTAGAGTTTCGTACACTTGAACCACTCATTTCTGTCATCCCCTGCCCACTCGTGCACCAACCTTTATTTCGGTGTTCCATGCTCCTGATGTCCGAAATGGGGGGGGTTAAGACGAGAGCGTTCCACTGCTGCTTATGTCAAACAGTTCAAGAGCGTCAGACTCCAGGAGCATGATACTCTAACAATTTAGGTCCTGGAAAGCAGCTCTGGTTTACGATTCTTGTACATTTTCTAACTAGTGCCACTTTTCTGCAAGAAATTTCAATTACAGTGCAACAGCACTAAACCCAAACAATCAAGTGAGGAAAAGACGCTACCTACCAATTTTAGATATTACTTCTTCTTGATTTTTGATTGTTTTATGTCACTTAGAAGTCACAAAATAGTAGAGGTGGGTTGCGATTTCACGAACTGTGACTTTGTCACTGCTACTGCTGTCACTGTCTATCATAGTCACGGCCTATTCCAGTCCCAGTCAAGTAGCAGTGACATTTTGTCACTGCCTGCTTCAAGCTCCGACCGATTCAGCGCGGACAAAACTCGAGCTAAGTGATACAAACGAAATAATATAATATTATAAATTGCATCGCAGTCACGCGAAATACAAGATGCTACTGCAGAGGACAGGCTGGAAACTGGAACATCTCTCTCGGCCGTGACTGGTGACTGTGATTATACTATGTTGCGATTTAGCATTACCATAATATTAGCAGTACGGCCGCCAACCAAGGTAAAACTACTTCAAAAAATTACTGCTATTTGTCACAGTGACACGACTGGAGCAGTCACGTCTTGTCACAGCTCCATTAAAATCGCAGATTGGCCCACCTCTAACTAAGAGCAATCTAAATCCAGCCTAGAATCTCTCTAGATACAGCCTAGGAGCTGTCTAGATATAGCCTAGAATTTTCTAAATACAGCCTAGGAGCTGTCTAGATATAGCCTAGAACCCTCTGAGGGATGCTCTAGGCCAAAAGTGAAGTCTTAAACTTCCAAAAGCTGCTCGGAACGATCCGAAACAAAATCCAAAATGACCAAGGGACAACTCTAGACAATGATCAACAAGAAATTCATCTAATTTGAGTTTCCCTGGCACAAAATTCCAAAAAGTCTTGCGTAAAAATAATTAGGGCCAAGACCGACCTCACAGTATCAAGTCTCAAGATCAAGATTATTCTCGGCTCTTGATTCGGATCAAGAGCCGGGATAATGACTCAATTATTAATCAATTTTTGCTACTATAAATCCAGAGATACGAAATCCAAGAGAAATTGAAAAAAAATTCTCTAAATGAAGAAATTTAGAAGAAAACGAAAACTCAATAGCCGGGAATAGACAAAAATTGAAAAATGGAAAAAAGAAATTTAAGCGAAATTAATTTCTCATTATTATTCTTCTCACAAATTTGAGTAGTTACTTAACAAATTGGCAACCCTGTCGGTAATTGCATGCGGGTGCAAAAAGAGCAAATTTTGACGGACTTCACGTGATCACTTATCTTTTTTCACGTGACACCTGTCAAATTTTGCTCATTTCGCTCGCAGATGCAATTACCGAAGTATTAATATTTGCGACTTCGGAGAAGAAAAAGAATACATCGGGTACATCCGAGGAACAAAAAGAGAAGACTGTTTGTTGCAGCCAAAGAATTAAGGCATGGCGACATTCGAGCGACATCTTGCTCGGGTGTGTATTGGGCCTTAGTCACTGAATAACATCAAACTTTTAAGGTTGCCAGACCAGCGATTTTTTCGCCTAAGGAGGATAATTAAATAACAAACTCAGATTTCCATTGTTTGCAATCATTTTTGAAACGTGACGTTTCGATTCGTGCTGAATCAATGACCTCAACAGATTTTCAAGAAGAAGTTTCGCAAGACTGTGTTCAGTATGACACACTATGAAATGTCAAGAGAAGACTCTCCTGTGCTAATGTCTTTGTCAACAAAATTTTGACAAGCCAGCGTCATCTACTGTTTAAGTATTAATCATTATCCACTTGATTCGAATTAACATTACAGACACCTACTTTAGATAAGGATTGAAATGAAATTCACTCTGACTGGTTTGTGATTTCTGCAAAAACAGACTTATTATTTTCGAACCTTGACCTAGAAATATATGCCTGGTTTCACACCGGAGTGATTGGAACATGTAGATATATTTTAATAGTTTGCGACGTACTTGCAAGACGCACAAACGTTGATTATTTTTGACTTGTTGCGTAGAGGTGTATCGATAAATATGGTAGCACTGTGTGACTTTGGTATGAATGTAAACATGGAAAACTCAAGTTGCTTCGTGCTCCCTGCTTTCTAGCAGCAAGTCGCACGCATGATATGATATATGCATTTTCAAATCGCTTTTCGTTTGAATTTTGCTTTGCAAGTGTCAAATTCAAAAGGATGAATATCCGAATGTGGTACCTAATATGTGATTTTTCAGATGGTCCTCTTCATTTGAATTTTGCTTTGTAAGTGTTACGTTAAAAAGATTAAATATCCAAGTGTGATAACATGTGCCTCTTCAAATCGCTTTTTCGTTTATATTTTACTTTGCAAGTGTCACATTCAAAAGGATAAATATACGAGTGTGTCACCATGTGCATCTTCAAAACGCTTTTTATTTCAAATTTTGCTTTGCAAGTGTCACATTCAAAAGGATAGATATCCGAGTGTATTAACATGTGCTTCTTCAGAACGCTTTTTGTTTTAAATTTTGCTTCGCAAGTGTCACATTCAAAAGGATAAATATCCGAGTGTGTCACCATGTGCATCTTCAAAACGCTTTTTATTTCAAATTTTGCTTCGCAAGTGTCACATTTAAAAGGATGAATATCCGAATGTGTTAACATGTGCATTTTCCAATTGCCTTTTTGTTTAAATTTCACTTTACAAGTGTCACATTCAAAAGGATAAATATCCGAGTGTGTTAACATGTGCTTCTTCAAAACACCTTTTCGTTTAAATTTCACTTTGCAACTGTTACATTCAAAAGGATATATATCCGAATCTGTGCATCTTCAAATGGCCTTTGGTATGGATGTAAACATGGAAAACTCAAGTTGCAACGTGCTCCCTGCTTTCTAGCAGCAAGTCGCACGGTAACACGTCACATGCTACTTTGTTATAAATGCCCTACGGAAACGAAAAATAAAAGAAAAAAATTATAAAGTAAGGTTATGAGAAGAAAATGTCAAAAAATAAAGTAAGCTGGCAACGTTGCATAAGTAGTGCCCACCTTCGAAGAACCCGAGAGTTTACCAGCCCTGGGTTAAAAAAGCTTGGATAAACACCTTTCAACTTGACTAGGTAGTTAGCCTAGAGTTAGAGTTGACCCAGCAAACTCCGCTAGTTATCCCTTGATTGATAAACCGGCCCTGAGAGAGGTAGGTTGCCTAATAACTGTAGGACGTCATCTGGGGTGCCTCATCATAATGCAAATCTCACTGTTCCTTTGCAACATTTGACATTAATGTCTGATAGTAGTATGACTTCAGGAACAAAACTACTTCCTGGGTATTCTTCAGACATATAGTTATTTGCCAATTCGAAAGTATTTTCAACATTTATCAAACTTCGAGTCACACCTCTATGAAACACAGTAACTTAAAAAAAAAATATATTGTCTGGATCGTTGTTTTCAGATGGTGGACTATATTTGAAAATGACCCCGTCTGTTTCGAATGTCGCTGTCGAAATTTTAATTAAATTTGTTTGGCCGATAACTTTTAAGACGCGGTCTGACGAGTTCGTGGGTGGCAAGAAGGAAAATCGTAAATAAAAACCTCACAAAAATAAAACCGGGTATCAGGTTAAGAGAATACAAAATATAAAAGTTTAAATCTCAGGTGAACAAAACTAAAAAGTGTCGCATGTTCTTGTTTCTTTATATAGCATAATAAAAATGCAAAAACGTTAAGTGCCGGCTACGACACATTTAAATAAGCGTATAACAGTCGGGGGGTTATACATACTGCGGCATACACAATGATGCATGCGACTTTTCGCTAACTAACTGACAGTTGAACCATTGGTGTAAACGTCAAATAAAACGACGTTATATGGCCCATGCTCACGTGGCCCGGTCGGTCGTAAACTTTCATTAGGCGGCAGTGAATTAAACTAATGTCACCACAAT